GCTGTTGCTGCTCCTGCTGCTGCTGCTGCTGCGGACAGCTTGTGGCTGGCCCAAAGTGCAGCCAGCTGAGACACAGATAGCAAGTGTCGTTGACATGTCCAAAGAAATTGCCTAATTGATATACATTTCTTTTGCCTGACAGCTCCAGCTCAACAACTGAGAGCTGACCACACAATACTCGTGTCAAGTGAAAGGCATACCGGAAACTTTATAATACAAGGGCTTAACGAACGGAAACGAAATTGATAATGATGGAAATGACGACAAGAGTTCTCTTCCTGGGATTGCCTGACTAGGGGATACCTTGTTTTCTGATAAGAGCAGACAGAGCAAACAGTTGTCGCTTTTTGTATGCATATGGGCTTTACTTTGGGAAATAAATTCTTAAATACCTCTTGTACGACATATGATTTATAAATAAAAGTATTTATAATTACTATTAAAAATCTAGACTGGCAAAAACTTGTTGGTTTAACATTTTAAGTTAGTTTGAATAGAGTGAAGAGAAAGAACTCAGAAAAAAATATATTCTATACACATTTATGTTGATTAAATAATATGACAATTGCCTTTAAAGCAAGAAAACCGAGATTGAGGAGAAAAAGAACGTAAGTGAGGTATTTCATATTGACGAATTAAAATTAGAATTGTTTTAATATAGCAAAGGGACTCTTTCTCTGCCTCTCTCTCTCTCTCTCTCTCTCTCACTCTCTAACAATTTTATGTCTTTTATGTCATTAACACAACTGTTGCTCTCTCTCTACAATTTTGTATGTCTTGTGTGTTATTAATTCAATTCAAAAGACGCTTCCCCTCGCTCTCTTTCCCTCTCTCTGCCTCTATCTATATCTCTCTAACATCCTCATGCCATTAATTGAAACATATTTATCTCTATTAAATTGCGTGTGTTTCGCGATTGTTTAACTGTAATTGTCACACACTTGTTCTCAATTTTTTTGTGGTAACTGAATTTGTTTAAGCTGAACTTAAAAGTTGTACAAATGCTTTCGTTCTGTAACTACTGTTGCATCTGCCCCACACGCACATGACTTGGCCACAAACTTTATTATTTGTCCAGGACATTCCTCGGCGCTCTGCTGAACATGCTGCCAGTGCTCCCCTGTCGATCGACAGCAGTAGCAGTGGCAGCAGGAGCTGGAGCAGCAGCAGCTGCTAAACTTTTTTGCTGCTTCCAAAAGTTGCAACTTTTCTCATTTGTGCGTGTGCATTGGTAAGTTGCTGTCTCCTGTCTCCAGTCTCCTGCTTGTTGTCTGCTGTCCACTGTCTGCAGTCAGTTGTCTGCTTGCTGCTCCTGCTCCTGCTCCTGCTGCTATGCCTG